CTTCTCGATCAGCATTTTTCTTACTTTTGCCTTTTTATCCAATAGAAATATTTGTTAATCAATTTCTGTGTGTACAGTCATGACAGTAGACAGGCCCTCTCAGAGGTCCAGTGAGGCCCGGGCAACTTCCAGCTTTTGAAGCCCTCACCATAATAAAAATAAGGAATGACAACACCTGAAAACAAAATAAGGCACCAAAAAAAGAGTGAGACATAATTTGAATATTTTTTTATTTAACAAATGTTTTTCTAGCGTTTTTCTGGGTAAATGCACTAATTATTGAGGAAAAATCTAGCTTTCGTGCAATGTCACAGTTAAATGAATTAGGAAGCTCACAGATGGTACACAAGTTACAAAAACGAGTCAGGCAAAAGTGGAGTAAAAGGTGGAAATGAGGAACAAGGATTCTAGAAAAAGTAAATCACAATGCAAAAAATACAATGCAAGCTAACTACAAAATGTCTTTCATTGCTGGAACATGTAGCCAACCATATTTGAAATGTTTTGTTGTAAATAAGTAGCATATTCCCAGTTTAAAATGTTCTAGTGTTAATAAGTAGCCTTTACAACTTGAAATGTTCTCCTGTAAACCATGTACACAAATGCTGAAAAGGCTTAAAATGAAGAAATACTAATTAAGAACACAAAATGAAACAGTCAGACAGGTTAGTATCCTTATCACTGAATCAAAACTCAAGCACGCAAGGTATAATATAACAGGCTGAGCTGAAGACAAAGGGATGACCTTTATATATGAACAGATTTAAAAATTGTATTAAGATGATGTTAAAAAAATCGTGATCAGAGTTTGAGCATAGAAGTTTCTGGTTATCAGGGAATAATGTACAGATTATCAAGGGTGCAAAGTTTGGTTTAAGATCCGGTGGCATAAGGAATACATAATCTGCAATATCCCCGATTGGGGGTAAAAGGTTGATGGGTCAAAGTACAGGCATTGAGATATGAGGGTATGAAGTTCATAGAGTGGCTATGTTCAGGTGTGGAGTATAATGAGTGGATAGGATGATAAGAATGGATTGACCCTCATTTGGTGAGATTTAACACAGATATAGATACAGACAGAGGGATGATGTCCAAAAATTTCAAATGTGTCTCCTTATGAAACTCACTGTACAAGATTGTCCTCACAAATTTTCACCTTGAATCTGGGCCTATAGACTACGAATAATGAGGAATTCTCACACAAACAATTCCTTAGTTAACTAGACATAAAATTATAAAGACACTAAAATGTAAAAATTCTCTACCTTTCAACACACACTTGATCCAGCACCAGCCACTAGCAGTGGATTGTTTATACAATCAGCTGATCTGAGAGAACACATTCATCGCGGTCTAATCTTGTGCCATCAGAACCGGTATATTTTTATTAATATTTATGACTATTTTTAACTCTTTAATATGACAAATCTATATCTGTTAACAAAAAAATTATGTCTTTTACCAAATCACATCTCTTATTTGCTTAAATTTGCAGCTCTTACCTGAGAGAGTATGTCACATTTTGGTCCGATAGGGATGCACATAAAAACAAGTTGCAAAACTTATCAAATGCCAAAAAATTAATAAGTGTCTACATTTGAGGCCCCCTTTGAGCTTGAGGCCCAGGCCAAATAGCCCTCCTGGCCCCCGCATCTGATTGGCCCTGACAGTAGAGAGACAAAGTGGGTGAGGTAATATCTTTTATTGGACCAACTTCTGTTGGTGAGGGAGACATGATTTCGAGTGTACAAAGAGCTCTTCCTCAGGTCTACCAACATTTACAGATAAAAATCTAATCCTTCCGAGCCTAGTTACAGAGAACAGTGGTGGCACTAGGCTATGGCACACGCAGACTAAGCAATTGTTTCGGGCCCTGGGTAGCTCACAGGGGCCCTGATTTTGTGCTACCCCCAAAATACCATTCATCTTATTTAATGTGGACTTTTTAACAAGTGTATTAGTATGAGTTGTGTTGCTATGGTTTGTTTGTGGAAATAAGTAATTAGTATTTTGTTAGGGGATGGGTAAGGGATAAAGGGGCTCAAAATATTCCTGCTTAGGGCCCCAGACATGCTAACACTGCCTCTGATAGGAAATGTTCCCCAGACATTGGGCAGGTCATTAGAATGTCTGTGGAGGGAGAGGCCATAGTTGGCTCCTTCCACTAGATAATCAGACAGAAAATATCATATTGCCTCGATATAAATCCATGCTATGCCCACATCTTGAATACTGTGAGCAAATGTGGTCATCCCATCTCAAAAAAGATATATTGGAATTGGAAAAGGTACAGGAAAAGGCAACAAAACTGATTCATAGATTCTAGGACTGGAAGGGACCTCGAGAGGTCATAGAGTCCAGTCCTCTGCCCGCATGGGGGGACCAAATACTGTCTAGACCATCCCTGATAGACATTTATCTAACCTACTCTTAAATATCTCCAGAGATGGAGATTCCACAACCTCCCTAGGCAATTTATTCCAGTGTTTAACCACCCTGACAGTTAGGAACTTTTTCCTAATGTCCAACCTAAACCTCCCTTGCTGCAGTTTAAACCCATTGTTTCTTGTTCTATCCTCAGAGGCTAAGGTGAACAAGTTTTCTCCCTCCTCCTTATGACACCCTTTTAGATACCTGAAAACTGCTATCATGTCCCCTCTCAGTCTTCTCTTTTCCAAACTAAACAAACCCAATTCTTTCAGCCTTCCTTCATAGGTCATGTTCTCAAGACCTTTAATCATTCTTGTTGCTCTTCTCTGGACCCTCTCCAATTTCTCTACATCTTTCTTGAAATGCAGTGCCCAGAACTGGACACAATACTCCAGCTGAGGCCTAACCAGAGCAGAGTAGAGCGGAAGAATGACTTCTCGTGTCTTGCTCACAACACACCTGTTAATGCATCCCAGAATCATGTTTGCTTTTTTTTTGCAATAGCTTCACACTGTTGACTCATATTTAGCTTGTGGTCCACTATAATCCCTAGATCCCTTTCTGCCGTACTCCTTCCTAGACAGTCTCTTCCCATTCTGTATGTGTGAAACTGATTGTTCCTTCCTAAGTGGAGCACTTTGCATTTGTCTTTGTTAAACTTCATCCTGTTTACCTCAGACCATTTCTCCAATTTGTCCAGATCATTTTGAATTATGACCTGTCCTCCAAAGCAGTTGCAATCCCTCCCAGTTTGGTATCATCCGCAAACTTAATAAGTGTACTTTCTATGCCAATATCTAAGTCGTTGAGAGACCCAGAGCCAGAGAAGCAGACACACAGGGTCATTTCACTGTAGCCTTGTGCAGCTGTTTGCACCAGGGTAATTAACCTCTGGAACAATTTCCCCAGTATCTTGGTGGATTCTGCATCACTGACAGTTTTCAAATCAAGATTGGATGCTTTTCTAAATGATCTGCTCCTCTAGGAATTGTTTTGGGGAAGTTCTATGGCCCGTGTTATCCAGGAGGTCAGACTAGATGATCACAATGGTCCCTTCTGGCCTTGGAATCTGTGAATATTGAATAGA